TTTTTTTTTTCTCTCCGACAATTATTTGTTTATAAACTGAAACAATTAAATCAAAAAAAAAAAAAAAAGACAAATATTTTAGACTTTTATAGTGAACAAACATTTTGCACAGTAATTGTTTTTAGGTAAGAAAGATAAGGTAGAAAATGTTGCAAATAATTTTTGCAGCGTTTCTTTCACCATTTCCATGGATTATATAAACAATACAAGAGAACTGTGATAATTGCTCAAAAAGCTAAGCACATAGAGAGGGGAACAGAAAGAAAGCGAATCTTTGAGAGTAAATGTAGAAGTAGGAAATCTTGAGAGCAGCCAAATAGTAGTAAATTTAAAATACTTACAGAATCTACTAAATTACTAAAATTACTCGACAGATATTAAATTTTATAATCATCATCCTTTACCCTAATTATTCTGTCATGATACGCCTTAGTGAAAAAAAAAAAATGAAACTTTGGAAACTATTTGCACTTCTGTCAGCCTTTTTCGCTAAAACAGCTAAGAAACGATGATAGCGAAAATAGTCGTGAGCAACAAAAAAAACTTTGGTTTTTTCTTGATTTTTTTTTTTTAAACTAGTTTATTTTCTAACAAATTTTGAAAAATTTTTTACACTCGCAAAAAAATACATGTATCCGTTTCCACAACTGCTTTCATCGTTTGTCAAAAACTTTTTTTTTTGTTCGTATTCTTTATCTATGACTAACAATACGACATTATATCCAGAAAAAAAAAGATACTTAAATTTTACATTGTACGAACAGAAAATTGTAGCAGTAAAAATTCGCAATAATGAAATCAACAACGACTACGACGACGACAATGGTCGTAAAAACGATGATATTTGGCAATACTTAAAGCTGTCAAATATGCAACTTTTTTTCACTTCTTTCTGTTCACTTTATTTCCAACAACAAAATCTTAGCAAATAGACCAGACAAAAAAAAATAGTGCAAAACATTAGTTCCAGATGATAAATGGCCAAATGTCACTGATTAGCCGGCTGCTACAATAATGGTTTCTTCTTCATTTTCCTCTGTTTCCTCATCCATTCACCTTCATTTTGCCCAGCTAACATTCTTCGTCATATAGAGCTACCAAGAAAATCA